CTTCTTCTTTTTGCTCGTTATCTCTCTAGCTCTTTCTATGACATGCAATATGACTGCTGGGCTGTCTCTGTCGGCTATCCTCTACTCTCTATTCGCGGTAGTTTTCTCTCTCTCGTCGCGCTCGCGGCTCGTTCTCGTTCTCTCTCTCTCGTTCTCCGTTCTATCTCTCCTCTCTCTATCCTCTCTCTCTCTCTCTTCTCTTCTCTCTCTCTCTCTCTCTCTCTCTCGCTCTCGCTCTCTGTCTCTTCCTCTTTCTTTCATTGCCCATTCCTTCCCTCCGTCAGCATCTCCTCCTCCTCCATTCCAGACAGACAGTCCCCTCACGGTCACGGCTGCGTACCACAGCATGCAGGGGGTTTGCCTTTTTCCGGTTGCATCTGCTGCCCTGGTCCTGCACCGATCCTGCCCCGGTCCCAGCCCCTGAAGGGATACATTTCACGGGATCATTCGCTGGTTCTCAGCCACACCAGTGACTTGGAGGATGTGGAGGGGCTTTCACACAACCTGGCTTCTGACCTCCCCATCATTACCAGGGTCAGGGGGCTGCAGGGGGGCCACGGCCTGCCGTGGGGGCAGCTCTCTCCCAGGCCGTTTCAGACCGACCCAGGCCACCACGCATCAAAAAGCCATTTAGTCAGGCCAAATGTCAAACACTAGCATGTTTTGATCGTAGAGTCGTTATCAAATTAGGAGATGAGTGAGAACGGGTGGGAGAGTGGGAGTGAGTGTGTGTGTGTGTGTGGTGTCTGAGGGGATAACAATGTTTCCACACTCAGACACCCAGACTAAAACTGATACACTTGAATGCAGTATTGGTAACATCAGCAATGTTTCTGGAAATGTAATTATAGTTGTGTAGTAAAAATAACACAATGAAGGTATTCAAAAATATAACAAGATGCAACTCATTTTAAATTCTACAATTTATTCCAAATACGCTTTTGCCTCAAATTACCTCACCACCAATAAATCAGATTGGATTGCCTTTGAACTATCAACATGTCAGTCAAAGTGCTAAAATGAACATGGACAATCCAGTCTTTTGCTCATTGCCCTAGCCCTCAAACATACAGATCACTCTTTTGTTGATGAGAATCTTCCTGCACAGAAGGAAATGCTAACTTTTAGCTTATTCAAGGTTTAAAAAGGATTCTAATTTCCACATGTCAGACTTGATTTGCCCTAACAAAAAATGTATCAACCCCTACAAAAAAATTCCATTAATTATAATCCACATAATCAATGGGTCAACTGACAACGTCACGAAAATGATGTGCGCACTTCCATGGGACAGAAATCAGCGTGTTGTTGTGATTCTGGATGGCCAGATTGCTAGCAAGAATGATAAGAAACTGCCATGTGGTTAATCATAAGTGGCTCGCTTCAGTTCGTTTCATTTTGTTATTGATACCATGTCTTGTTTTGAGGTGTTTTGACTGATTCCATGTCAATGCATATATGGCTAAAATTCGCTAGCTAGATAACCAACAACTGTAACGATGTATTTGAGAGACAAGTGCTCATTCTGCAAATGTATTTATGTTTTCAATAAACATTGGAGACGAAATATAGCTTACATGTTATCAAAAGTCTAAGCCAACCCCGTCTGTTTTGCCCCATAGTTGCGCACGCCTCGGTTTTGTTGCTAAACAACGAACCTGTCTATAATTCATATTTCCTGTTGCTGCAGGATTATTTTCCTTCTGTAGCAAACTGGCTCAAATTAAGATCCTACATTTGTACCTCCGGTCCCCCAAACCAGACCAGAGATGAAATAACCACCCCCCTCCCTACCTCCCCAGGGGCGAGTCTGTGGTCTCTACGCATCATGGCCACCCACCAGGAGTCAGACATGACTCAGGCCAAACCTGTCGACCCACTTCCTCAACTAGAAACCCCCTCCAGCACAACACATATGAAGGCGTCTGGGAAGAGGCTGCCGCAGTTACATTTTTACAAGAGGGGCCATTCTAAAATCAACAAGCACAGTCAAATATTTCTGGGACATAATGAAAATGTAAAAAGTGAAGCATTGTGTTCTCATTGGATGAACTTTGGCATCGTGCAACATTTTTTAAGGGTACTAACGGCCATGTTAAATGTGTTAATAATAATTCTGC